CTACTATCTTAAAAATTCAACTATCAACCAAAACACCAAATCTATTAGTGAGTCTTTAAAACCTGAGATTAAGTATTAACGAAAATGGCGAATCTAACTTGACATTAGATATTGTTGATCCTTTTATATAAATTTCTTTCTTAAGCAGTGTATTTTGAACTTATGCTGGATTTTTTTTTTTTTTTTTTTTTTGTAAAGAAAAAAGTATGCTTTGACTGCCAAATTCCAGCACTCCAATCACACCCCCAAAAAGTACTCCAATCACACCCCCAAAAAGTACTCCAATCACACCCCAAAAATCCCTCTTTCCTTTGAAAATGTCCATTTGCCACTTTAGAGTTAGCGGAACCATTATGTTTTGAAAATGACAGTGTATACTCGGAAGTGAATATGTTGTTAGGAGATTTGTGCTTGGAGGGGCATCCATGAGGATAAGTGTTTTCAAGAAGAACTTAGGTGTTATCCCTTTTGCTACCTTATGAGTTATTGGAAGGAAAAAGAATAGAAAAGCTTTTGAGGACATATAATTTTCATTTGTTATAGTTCAGAATACTTGGTTTCATATGTTAGATTATTTTATAAAAGGTCATCCTCTTAATTTTTTGAGGATTTAAGAGAATTGATAGATTTGATAGAATTGTGAAGAGTTTAATACAGGTCTCACCTTTTTGGTGTCTTTATATATAATACTGTCTTTATTTTAAAATTTTCATTAGGAAATGATAAGATTCTTGGTTGATGTTGGAGCCCTTCCAAACAAATTCATTCTTGCTAGTTCCATTTATTGACTACAATCTGGAAGGCTTTTGTTAAGAGTATGGATTGAACAATTGGTCCTTTTAAAATCTCCTATGTAATTCTTAACATGGTATTAGAGTAAAGATACGAGTTCAAACCAGAAATTTCACCATTCTTTTGTCACGTGTTCTTGCCCATAATTTTGGACTTTTTTTTGGTTTTTCTGTGGATGAGGTAATTTTTAGAGTCCCTGCTTCATGCGATCTAGGGATTCATTGGTAAATTAGCTTTTAGGTCGAGGCTATTTCTCTTGAAGTTATTCCTCTTGCTGTTAATTGTTAAATTCTTTTGACAGTTCTGTTCCTTCTGGTACTGGTGGGTTTGTGAAGACAATTACATACGGTGCCTCATCTGACTCGGAAGATAAGGATATACCTCTGCTGGCTGGGAAATTGATTCCAACTTTGGAACGGCTCGAATTAATCAGCGAGGTATGCTGCTTCCTAACTGTTTATGGCTTAACAGTCTGGTCTCATCTGGTTAAGGTCCTTGCATGTTTGCATTTCTTGGTATGTGCCTCATAATCATCCTTGCATCAAGTTTCAGATATTTATGCCACTTTTTGCATTTTTAGAGCTTGTGGCTTCTATATATAGCAGCTTTTATTACGTCTCTGAGATAATCCTATATCAGGTTTAAGGTGGTATTGGAACTCAAGTTGGCAACCTCACCAACCTGAATTTGTCGGCAGTTATTAATAGGAAAGCCCCTTGATCTTGTAGATAGAGAGAGAATTTAGAGGCCTCCATGGTCCATGGTCTGTATTTCATATGGTCGACCGGATTTGTTAGTAGGAACTTATGGATCTCTTATGTAACGGGGGTTCGAGTGGGCAAGGTAAGGAGAACCTGAGCCATGAGTGGGTAAAAAGGAGCGGTGGGCTCCTTTCTCAAAATATTCTCTTGCATCCAGACACAGAAAGAGCTATGGTTAAGATGCTATTCTCTTTGTTTGCTTAATTTGGAAGCTGAGTGAAATAATCAATTTTGATACTTAGGTGGAGTTTAAGCATTGCTTTGATGATTTAGAATTGCTACGGTGTCAAGTATTGGGTATGAACATAGGATCATACTTACTTGTTCTCAAAGCCTAAGCCACGAGAGTAATGAGTCTATTGACATTTGACACAGTTTCTTCATGGGGCAAATTAGTTTTTCATGTTTTCTACAGTTGAATATTTATTAATATTATTAAAATGAAATTTACATGTCTTGTGTCTGGTTATTTTCTCAGGATAAAGTAGGGCGCAGGCTCAAGGTGTTCCGCAGATTAGTTAGTTCGCTGAAAGAAATAGCCATCCAAAAGTTGGCTTGATTCACATCCAATAACTTGCGTTGTAAGATCGATGTTTAGAGTAAATTTCAGGGTGTCCACATAAAATGTAGCATGTTTAATGCGTGAAATCATGTGATCTTACTTTATGCTTCTGTAAATGTATATTATATATCAATTGTATGTATGAAATTATTTGCTTATGAGAGTTTCGCAGACATTTTCAACATGTCAGTTTCCCATACACTTATATAATGGGTCTTTCAAATTTTCTTCTGGTTCGGGGAAGTAACTTGTGTAATTATAGTAAACACGATATCATGGAAAAGAAATAGTAGTAATCTGAAACTGGACGAAAATATTATTGGTGTTAGACTTTTCAAAAAACTGGACTATAGCGTCTTCGTAGTTATGGTTATAATATATATATATATTTTTTATGTTTTGGCTTAATGTGTACTTCCGTCTAAATTCTCTAAAGGATAAAACTGGGTGAATGTTATTGCTCATTTTTCAAAAATGGTAAATAATAATAAGGTATTTGAGATTTCTATTATAATTTCTTAAATAATAATTAAAATATATTTGTTAATCTTTAATTTAATTATAACAAAAGTTAGTGTTAACTAAATATGCATCCAATATATGAGAACAGAAAACACCCTAACATCTTGATGACATAATTTTAAGATAATTTTACAAATCTCACAGTATATATTTATCGTAAGTCAATTCTTAGAAAAATAATTTTATAATCTATAAAAACGATAATATATTTAGTCAGCCATGTAATTGTCTTCCCAATTGAATTTTTTTTTAAAAAAAAAATTATTATAGCAATGTAATTCTCGTTGGTATTATGTAATTTAAATTTAATTATACGAAATTTGTGTACGTACATCCACAGGACCGCAACCCGATAATTTTTTTTGAGTGAACCGGCCGATACCATTTGAACACACACACACACACAGTACTCATTAGTTTCCTTTCTCGGGAGAGTGAAGATTTAGATCCAAATTTTGCCGTGAAATTTTTTCTACTTCCTTCTTCTTACATCTTTTGCTTCCAATTGTTACATTCCCTCTTTCTCTGTAGATTAATCCCAGTTTTTCTGGAAATATTTTTCCTTTTGTTTTATTTTCCTGGAAAATCCTCCATATTTACTGCCTCTTCTCTTTTCCAGGCATTTTTTTTCAATGGCAAATGCCTGGAAAAGAGACAAGAACCCGAAATTCCTCACCCCTAAAGCCCTTTTCTCTCTTCTATCACTTTCTCTTCTCCTCCTATTCTCCTTCTTTTTCCTCTCCACTCGTTCTTCAACTCAGAACCTCGCCCCGGATCTCGCCATCAAAACATCTATCCCCGTCCGCGCGATCCCTTCATTTGATTGCTTCAAATGTCCCCAATCTCATCCCATAATCGCCAACATGGTCGAAAACCTTAAGTACCCATTTATCTATTCTCTAGCTGATTTGGGTAACTTGCCAGAAAAGCCACACAAGAACATTGTGAGGATGCTCAAAGGGAAGCCTTTTCGGAAGCCAGACATCTCGGCGACAATACAGGAGGTTCTCGAAGGAATGAGAATAAAAGGAAGAGATGGGTACGTTGTGGATGTCGGTGCCAATGTGGGAATGGCGAGTTTTGCAGCGGCAGTTATGGGGTTTCAAGTTCTAGCTTTCGAGCCGGTTTTTGAGAATCTTCAGAGGATTTGCGACGGGATTTGGTTTAATAGAATTGGGGATTTGCTTACTGTGTTTGAAGCCGCAGCCTCTGATCAAAATGGGAACATAACTTTCCATAAGGTAATTTTTTCCAGCTAAGTTAATGACATTAGTTAGCTTTGATCTTATTTTCTTGAGAAAAACAATGACCTTGTTGAAATTCAATTAGTCGTCTTAATAAATATTTTTCAGTTTCCTGTTAGATAATCATGTGAAAATGCCATTAAATCATATTAGCTTGCAAGCTTCAATTAGATAATCAGAAGTTACGTCTAAGTGCCCTCAGCTTATTATCTTTCATGACGGTTTCATCTAGACTCCATCACTTCGTAGGGTAGAGTAACTTAGTAGTTCGTCTGAGTAGGTGTCCTTAATATAGTTGCAGCATGTTATTTGCTGTGTTTTCCAAAGCAATGAGGCACTATGGTGTGCAGGCACAAGATACCCTCCTTAAGCTGGTTATAGTAGTTAAAGAAATGTTTAGATGACCAGTCATCCCAAAGCCTAAGCATATAAGTTTTCCACCTTTGTATTGGACTGTAACACACTGCATTCTTTCGACTGCTCTAATTAGATTTTCATAAGATGAGGAACCTATGGAAGATCATTATTGGAACCAGCTAAGGATACGAGTTTGATTCCATCATAACATTTAGAGCTCAATACCATGTCTAGGCACAAGTTTTATATATATGTGAAAAGGGTTTCTTAAGATGTTTGCAGCAAGATACAGAGGTCTAATAACTTGTTGAGACCCAACATTCATATTTAAGCTGCCATTCTTATTTTTGAGTTGTGTGAAGGAGAAATTGATTTTGCTTCTTCACATTGATGTAAATACCAACTGGTGCAAAATGAAGAAGGAAGAGTGAACCTTGCCAAAAGTCCAAAGTAGTGAGTGAAGAGTTTCTGAAGGAGGTTTACGAAAATGAAGCACCTTGGACTTGCATTTGAAGCTGGTGCTTTGGTACCTTCTTGAAGGATTTTTTTGGGTGAAATTTGTTGGAATATTAGGTTAGGAATTAAACTAAAAGGAATTTTATGAAAATCAGGCCACCTTTATAAGTATAGTCTTAACAAATAACTTATCAGAAAGTTTATAAGGTTGAGCAATACTTATCTTTTCATCAGCTTCTATTGGTGTAAATTACTGAGGGTTTATTTGGCTCAATAGATGCTTATACTATGAGATGATAAAAGTATTTTAAAAGAAAGTTCCAATCTTAAATTTAAAACAATATAGGATTTAATATAACTTGCTTTAAAAAGGTATTGTATTTAATTATTTATATAATAAAATTAATAATAAATATTGAAAAAAATAGAAAATTATTTTTAAAAAACTAATTGTTTATGATATTAAATAGTCTTAATTTTCTCTAAAATATTATTCTAATATTTAGACAATTTATCTTAATTTAATTATTTTATTTAATATAAATATTTTGCAAATTATTATCATTTAATTTTAAAATCAAAATTATGTTAGTAATTTATAATAAATATAAATTATCGATGGTAAATAAAATTATATTTTTATTTTTATTTTATAAATATTATATCAATAAACTAGTGGAACATTAGGTTGATTAATATACTCATTAAAGATATTATTCATAATTTCTCAAAAGTATTTGTTTTCAGTTTTTTATTTCACTTTTATCAGAAGCTTCTGCTTTTACCTAATAGCCTCTCTGTTTTTTAACATTTGAGCGGACTTCTGATTTTTTATAACAAAAGTAGAAATCCATCCAAGTGGATTTTGTTGGGAGCAGAAGACTTGGGTTGGATTCGGTTGTCTCTCCATGAGTAGCCAAGTTCCCCTTTGACAAAATAACTTGGGCAACTGTTTTACATGCATGGTTATGTGGTAGACTCTGCTTAAAAGTCAAATCACGATTTCTGATAATAAAATTATTAATCATTCAATAGGAAACTAACATCAAATAAAGTCCATGTTGTTTTTCTCATCCATTTAACTTACTCTTCTGGTGTTTCTGCCATGATTTAGTTTGTCAACCAGTTGGTGTCTAGATATAATGTTTCCCCTTGAGAAAACCCTTCAAATAATGCTTAAAAGTCACATGTTTTGTTTGCTATGATATGTATTTATTTGGTTTAAAATGAATATATTTCCATAATGTGGTCTCATCCACGATGAAGAGATCTTACAATGTTCTTATTAGTTGCACCATGCTAGCTTGATGCTGTTATCTATACTGACCATGTTGATTATCTTTGTTGGTACAGTTAGTTGGTCGGCTTGATAATAGTGCTGTATCAGCCACTGGTGCAAAATTAGCATTCAAGTCTAATGAAGAAGTAGCACTTCAAGTCAGGTCTATTCCTCTTGATGACGTACTCCTCGAGTCAGAATCCGTGCTTTTGCTTAAGATAGATGTTCAGGGTTGGGAATATCATGTGTTGAAAGGTGCTAAAAAGTTGCTCTCAAGACAGAAAAATGAAGCACCATACTTAATCTATGAGGAAGATGAGCGATTACTGCAAGCAAGCAATAGCAGTGCCAAAGAAATCCGAGATTTTCTTCATAGTGTGGGTTATAGTCATTGCACACAGCATGGTACAGATGCCCACTGCACCAAGGACTGATGAAAGTATCTGATCCTTGCCAAGGGAAACAGACCCTAAAAGTGTGAAACCAAAACTTTAAAGGCATGGCCAGTCTCAACTCCGTAGTTGATTCTTGTGGTTTGAGCTCCAAACTGCTTAAAGCAATTGTTCCTAGGAACTGATTATAGCTGTACTTGGATGAAGTTGTGGGGTTTGAGTCAAAATAACGATTTTTTGTTTCTTCACTGATGATCAAATGTGTATTATCTAGCTTTTAGCTTTCTCAGGCCGAAATTTGGCACGTGTTGATGTGATTTTATAATACATTTGCTTTAGATTTTGCAGCTAGCAGCTGATGGATGCTTTCCTTTTTTTGTAGATATAAGACCAGAAATGCTCATTTCTTATGTAAAGCATATTTTTTCAGTTATTAATGGCTCAAAATAGTCTCTCTTGAATCTTTCACTTTGGCTCTCCTGGTATAGTAGCGGAAGTTTTCTATATATTATAAATCAGATCAACCTATCAACTCCTTGGTGGAGAAATCCTAACCGAAAACCAAAGAATCCATATTAAAAGAATGATGATAAAAATTCATTTTCTCAGTATCTGTAATATAATTTTGTTTAATGATTGACAAATTTTATAGTGTCTAAACCTCTTAAACTTGAGACGCTCTAATACAAAAATTTTGATGATTAATTCTTTAAAAAGTTTGGATAGACAAAATTACCGTGACTTAATTATATTACAACCAAGCCAGAAAAAAAAAACATTTACAATTAATCAGGCAAACAATCTACAGAAAAGAAACAAAGTGCTCTATATATAAACATTTTTCAGAGTCTAAAACGAATATTACAGGGCTTTTACTCTTCAAATTCATCTCCACGGCTGGAATTCACCTCAATATCTTTGTAGGATTCAATTCAGTAGACTATACATTTCTAGTTTCAAATGACAAACATAAGAAAGTAATCACAGAGATCAAGACTTCATGCTTCTTTCGGCCCACTAGTCTTGGAAGGACCTGCTCTCTCCACCATAACTTCATAAAGTTGTTTGCCATTCTATTTGCATAAAAAAGAGAGCATGAATTAAGAACTTAAATTGACGAAATAAAGGAGAAAAAAGAGAGAAAGGCCCATCTAACTGCATAATGCCTTGATCATAAGGGTAAGCTTTGTTTCTGATGGTATAACAATATAACTTACAAAAATAACAGGGAAGAAGTGAACTTGTCCTTCAGGTTTCGTTTGCGTCTCTTTGAAATAAACAAGAACAGGGAAATTTGGCCACCAAAGTTCCCAATTCACAAAGGTTGAATATCTGTTGTCAAAATGTAGGTGTTCGTTACCTCCTGTAACAGCAAAAAAAAGAAAAAACACGGACAGAAGCAAGATGCTACTCACTTCCATCGATTTTTTCCTCCTACAAAGACATTCTCGCCTGATTCAGCAAGCTGGTCACCTATTCTGACTTCCTAAAAACAGGACAAGAAAAAAAGCAGAATTATACAATCAGTGAAGAATCAGGAGCAAGGAACAACATTCTCAGGGGGAAAAAAAGGAGAAGCTACATCAAAACCAGGTGTTGTAGTTATATTCTTTACAATAAATGTACCTGAAACAAAAAGTAATTTATTGAAACTCCACATGTTTACTGTAGATTACATTATTATAATACTTTAGTTATTAAATTCTAAAAAAGAAAAACTATATGATTATAGATCGACGGATCCAACAAATGCGTAAGCCATTATAAGTTCTCATATTTAGCTATGTGGGATTAACACTCTTACTATTCAGAAAGCATTAGACCATTAAAGTCAAGTTAGCAAAAGCAGAAAAATCTCCATAAGGATAATCACAATGCAGAATTGCTAACTCTATATGTTCCTCTTTGATAAATGTAGTTTCCTCTGAAAACTGAGTTAGCTTACCAAAGCCTCCTCATCGAAGACAAATCTCACTCTGGTAGTCTGCAAAAAGGAAAGAAAGCTTCAGATGAAACCATGAAACAAAACTACAGAAATAAAATAAAGGTTTATAACATTTCATGAAGTGAGCAGCCCCGAAGTTACACTTGAGGTAAATCCAAAAGAACAAGAACCTATATGCATGTATATTACTATTGATGGGAAGATCTCATCAAACTGGCACTAACTAAAATCTTTTGTATTTGAGCAATGAGTTCAAACCCTATTAAAAACTTGAAATGATGGTTCGTTAAATGGTTGAAAATCAGAGCTTTGGTTATCACACTTTACCAGTTGTTACCTGAAAAAGTAGAAGTAATCCAAGCAGCCCAACTGGTGCAGCTGGTAACAGATTATCTGTATAAGCCAAACCTCCAGCTAGACCTGTTTCAACAAGTATTGCAGATCAACCAGATTTATGGACATTAGACAGTTAGCAAGGATCTAAGGTACAAAGTTTAAAGACTAGACCAAAACTAGACTAGTCTACAATGATAGTTCACTTGTTATCTCCCTGAACAGATACAATTCTGGCAGCATCAGCCATATCATTGCTTGGTTAGGCTCACAATCCCTTAGAAAAACCCAAATCCAAGCTAACAAGATGAAAATCTATAGAGCTCCTTTCTGCCTATAAACCATGGATATCTAAATCAATCATTCCAAATGAAGTCCACAGTAGCTTATTTTCTAGTTAAACCAGATGGCTTGACTATAAAATAAATCAAGCTAAACACCCTCAAAAAAAGAAGCATAACACTAGAGAGCTCCAATGCAGCTCGATATGCAAGTTCCAAAGGGAGGCCGACCCAACAACTCCATGTTACCATTTATGTTAATGACAGCCAAGATAATTTACAAACTACAATGAGATTGTACCTAGATAATTACTAATACTATAAGCACAAGAAAAAATCATGGATGAGACAAAGGGGCAGTGGCAATTTTTCTAACAGTTTCATGATATGCTTCACGAATGTTTAGAAAAGCTCAAGCATACCAAGACAACCTTTGTGGTGACTGAGAAAAATACCCACCAAGTAGGACAATTGGTATCCGATAATCCGGGTCAGGAATCACAGTCTCTCCCCTTTTCACCCTCCTTCCAAGCTGCCATAAAGAAAGAAACCATACATAGCCATAGCCAAGAAATGATAACTGCCTAATCCATCTTAGCCTAGATTTCCATACATTTTGTTCTCAATTATTGGAGCAACTCAAATAAATACCGAACTAAAATCTACAATCCAATCCGAAAATTTTATTAAAACTTCAAGTGACGAAGGGTAAAGAACTACAAACCACTGATGCAACAATAACAGAACCTTTATTGATCATATCAAACTTTCTGCTCACAGAATTCTGATTGCATATCAGTTTGCCGTAGAATGAGCTCCTAAAATCCTTCAAAACCCCACTCACTTCTCGAGCTGTTCAGAATAAACACAAAAATCAGTCCTATATAGCTCCATTTTCATTTTTTTCACTACCTTCAGGAAATTGGTTGGCATACAACAAAAAAATACAGAACACTGAACTCTTAAGATGAACATCAAACGATAAGACTGGCACAATATAATAAACACCCAGTAGAAACGTAAGGAAAGAAAGTAGAAAAGACTTCTGATTGTCAAGTTGCTTACTTTCAGAAGGAAGAAAACGAGAAGACAGCAGGAGAGCTCTGGCCATTTTCCTCCGTTTTCTCTTTTTTTCTTTTTTTTTTTTCTTGTTGGAGAAATAAACTTCTTTTCGAGAACCAGAGTTGCTGGACTTTCTGTTTGCCTCGTAATTCAATTTGCATTGACAACATTACCCCCCCTCTTCTCATACTAAACGACATCGTTTGACGAAAAGGATACCGAACCGGAAGGGCAGATGAGTAAGTTTAGTGAAAAAAATTGGATCCTCTAGCAGGAAGAGTGAGAGCCTTATCTGCTGATAGGCACCTCCATCACCCCAACAACTGAATAAACTTGAAAAGCAGATATTCCCAACTGTGTCTTCAAGCTTTTTGCTTGCGAAAGACCAGAACTTCGAATAAAACTTTATATACAAAGTTGAAAAAAGAATGGCTAATTCCCTTTGTTTCACTCCTGTCTGCCCCTTCAAATCTGCAAACAAACCAGGTATCACCCATTCACTTCCTATCCTTTATCCGCGCAGTTATATTGGAATATGCATATATATGCTTATATATTCTTTTGCAGTATCCATATTGACATCATAATCCTCAATTTTAAGTGTTTAGCCTGCTTGCTGATTATTCAGGGATAATTATTGACAACTCAGTTGCGCGAAAGGTTATCCGGGTGACTGAAGTGTTTCAGAACTCAAGAACTGCCAAACTCCAATCTTTTAATTTGAAGGTGAGACGTTATTACTAACAACTAATGGGTATGCGCTTGAATTTCAATTCTTTTTCTTTTTCAGTTTCTAGTGGGTAAAAACGCCACAAACATTGGGGAGGTGCTGTTTTATGGCAATTTTACTAGTGGGTTTAAGACCAAGTTCTTATTGTTTATTTGAAATTAATGAATATTGATGAGATAAATGCCTTATGGAATCACATTTTTTTTTGGTTTATTGGATTTGGTTGGTAGTATTTCGTTTACTCATTTATAAGACCAAGACTAGAAGTAGGGAATTGCTGGTTTTTGTCTTGTGAAGATATTTTTTTGCTGATTGCCCGTGAAGTTTTCTATATATTAGGCCTGGTCTGATTCATTTCTCATTCTATTCCTATATAATTGTCATTCTTAATTTTCATAAGACATGTATATGACAGTATAATTTTTTATGTTTGAGCTATCCCTCACTCACCTTAAATTTCTTAGGTAGGGGTAGTTTAAACATGACAAATTATGTTATAATCATAAAAGGCGAAAATTAGCAAAATAGAATGAGACTTAAGCTAAATGGATTCTGAGATTAAGGTACAGTCTGGGAAATGGAGAATTACTAAAAAGAACTTACTTGTACGATTATGTGGTGGAATTGTTGGGTGCTCGAGTTTTATGGCTTGGTGATGGTTGCTTTCTAGTATTCTCATGGCTGAAAGAATTGCCGGGGCTAGAATCTTTTATTTTTACTTTTGAAGACTTCTTATTGTTTTCTCTAATTTCTTGGCTGCAGACAGATTTTCCATTCTGACTTTATATTGGTTTAACAGGCAACAGATAGTAATCCAAGCACCAAATCAAACAGCATTGTCTGTGCTGACTGTGATGGGAATGGTAAGCACAAAAAGTAAAAACAAAAGAATAGCAGCTATTCTTGTTCGTCTTCCTTGCATTAATGCTTTGCTCGGTTAATTTTCCTGGACTAATCTCCACGGCCAAGGTAACATTTTTTAGCAGTTGATGCTGTTTGAAAATGTTCCCATATTTGTCTGTGGGAAGAGTTGTAGGGTGTATTTTACATGTTATTATCTGTTATCTACTGAGCAATATTGGCAACTTATTGATGCAACCATAATATCTACGGCCCAATGTCACTTTCGGAACATTGTGTTCGAAGTACTAGAGATGGTCCTTCTTATATAATAGGAAAGTTATAGAGTCATTTTTTGCTCTTCTCTCGTCCCCTACAGGAGGAGAGAGTTCCTTTGCTTTGGTTAAAAATTTATGGTACTTTTGATATGGTATTTCTAATATTTACTTGACATTGAACTGGAGGAATTCTTTTCATCTGACGCATGGCATTCTTCATGCTCTTTTTAATCTGTATAATTTGTGTAATAGAGTTTCTATAATCTGTATGAAAAAGAAATAATTTTTTGAACCTTTCATTCATCCCACACTGACGAGGCTATGGTTTTGTTTGAAAATTATTCTTGAATTTAGCAAAGAATATATAGGAACTGTTATGGTATAGCTGCGAGAAGGTGAAGGATCTATTTGGCAGCTTCTCTCATTTTTATTGGTGCATGTATGTCAAACATTGCATCATATGGTAGATACTTTCGAATTAACATACGGTCTCAAAAATTATTTTTCTTTAGTGACGAGATTTTAAAAAAATAAAATGTCATACATGTGATTCGAGAATTATAATCGTCTATTTATATCGACATATTTTTATATTATCCAATTTGTTCATCATAAAATGAGAAATTATAAAAATGGTATCCGCACATATTAAATCTATACCTAAATCCGATGCATTAAGGTTCAATTCCATTTAACTGTACTTGATCATTTTTAAACGGACTCATTAATCGATAGCCTATTACGCATAGTAAAGTCCACATTAAACCCATTTATCAAAAAATCCAGCAATCTCCTATTTAGGTTTTATGTGATACCTTAACTATGCGTTAAATAACCGTAAGAGTATTTAGAACTGTATTAGTAATATCTGAATGCATCACCAAACAATCTCGTTCATCAATCATAATGACATAGGATCAAAACGGTTTTTGTTACAACTATCATAACTAAACCAATTAATGGTCACGTATATTAGTATAACCGAACGAAATAGATTAAATATGAATGTACAACATGAAAATTACATGTTATGTGATTTAAGCATGCCTATTTTCAATTGGTTCTACTTTAACCTTAGTGAGATCACCTGCAAGAAAACTTAGAAATAATATATAACCCAAATTTATAAGGAGCCCGAATATTATTGATAGAGGAAGTCATAGCTTTAGAATTGCTCAGTTAATCATATTATTGTGGCTATAAGCTAATTTATTGCATCAGAATTGTTAGCCTCGTAGTACTTCCAAGAAATTTAGTTTTTAACCTACATTTTGCATGAACTTTTCCTTTTGCTAATATTTCAGATTCGGATCTGTAACTGACTTTGGGCCGCCCTTGTTTTCCTTCCTGATCCCTCAGGTGCAGTAGCATGTAGCCAGTGCAAAGGAACAGGTGTTAATTCTGTAGATCACTTCAATGGACAGTTTAAAGCTGGTGGATTATGTTGGCTTTGCAGGTGAGATGCACCGATGAATCTGTACTCTTCTTTATTTTGCTAGAACGTTTGATGACGAAACCATTTAACGCACGTCAGTGTTTTTTCATCGTTATTTTCACTGTTGTACGATATGGTAAATTAAGCAAGTAGATCAAAACAAGACAAAAAGACACACAGAACTTAAGTAGTTTGGTCGATATGATATACTCATTGGAGGCTCTCCAAGTTCATTATGAAGAATTTTAGAAATAATACTGTCCCTCTCTTGCTTTTCCCTGACTTCCATAAACTCCAACCTCACAATAAATCAAAGATGTTTGTTCTAATTTCTGAAGGTAAAATTACAAATATGTATAACTGCGTATCTTAAAATCAAGAAACACCACAAGTCTGTCAGGCATACTGAGGTGGCCAATTACCAGTCTGAAGAGGGATAGAAGATTGGAGAGAAAAGGAAGAAGCTTTGGAGAAGAGCACTAGAAGGTAATGGGAGACTGAGAAGAGGAAATAGGTACAAAAAAAAAAAAGCAGAATGCAGAGTGAACAGGCAGGAAGATAGATAGTCAAGGATAATTCTTTACTGGATTTTTCTTGATGCTTTTACATCATAGCAGGGCCAATTTACTAACAGCTATTCCTTGGCTGCAGTTTATTTGATCTTGACACTGTTCTTTATGTCATCCTACTTCGCGGACTCAGTGAGTCATGTTTTCTTGCAGAGGGAAAAGGGATATTTTATGTGGATCCTGCAATGGAGCTGGGTTCGCTGGTGGTTTCATGAGCACATTTGACGATTAAACAGCCACAGATAATTAGATCTTTCTTTGTTGTTTGCTAAAGTTTTGGCTTAATCACCAAAATGTTGCTGGTAAACTTGAGATTCTGTTGAATCGGAAGGAAAAACAAAATGTAATCATATTCGTGTTCGGTCAGAGTTAAAACTACGACTTTTCGCTTTTGAAACAGACGCACTGTCCACTGATCTACAGGTCTACCTAATTAGTTTTGTAATAATATGTTCTCTATTTTATGAAATCTTTGTATTCTAATTTTAAGTATCTTTTTATTAAAAGAAATCTTCTAGTGTAGAGCTTAAGAAGTATGTAAAAAAATTTCATTGAAAAAAAACAAGTGTAAGAAAAAATAAAAAGTATAGTTAGTTGTATTTTAGGAGAAATATATAATTTTATTAATGATTTTTTATTTTTCTATAAAAATATATATAACACAATTGTTAAATTATTAATAAAAATTTTTAAAAAATTATTATTAATAATTTAATTTATAATATTTTAGGGTCAATAATTTAAATTCAAAATATTAATTATTCTTGAACCCAAATGTATTATTTATGATATTTTTCATGAGAGTGATTGGACCCACTCAATTTAGTAGGTTCTTTTTTATCTCACATACCCAACTAGGTTTAGGTTTAAGTTAGGGTCAATGACAAACACCAATTGAATGTAAGATACATATATATATATATGTAAACTTACTTCATTTTTCAAACAAATTCAAAAAATATTTTAAAATTTATTTACAAATGTACATGCAATTCAAGTGAAAAATCTATTTATATATTAAATTTAAACAACATAAACCAAGTTTTTAGTGAAACTTAAAATGCATTGCTTATATATATTATATTTCATATCTACATTGAAGTTAATTTTCATCATTTCAAACAAATAGATATATACTATTCAATGATTTATACAAATTCAATTAACGTCTTAGTGACAAGAATATTCTTCCATAGATTGGTTCAACCAAAGCAATAATTAATAAATAAGTACTTATTTCATTAACAATAATAACACCATAATATGTCTTGTAAAGTACTAATTAAACACGATTATATCACTCTGATTATTTAATTAAATTATTATTGAAAATTGATTGATATTTTTCTCCTCCTCCTCCTCCTCCTCCTCCTACATATCAGCAGAGAGAGAGGCCCTACGGCACTCATTAACCCCATACCAGACACCATTTGGTAGATAAACATTATAATAGTATGTCACCGTCTTCGTATATGTGCCGTAGATCTTAACACTCTCGGGTTTCCAGCCGTCCGATCCACTCCTCAGCAGGTACAGATAACAGATGTCACGCGTACAGGGTCCCTTGATTTGGAACGTATCTGTCGAACACCTCTCGAAGGTCCCTGAATACGGGTCATCAAGCCTCTTTACATAAACCTGTTCATCAATCATGGTCATCAAATTAAAAATCCACCAATTACCCATTAATCACCATTCGGCTATCTAAAATGGGTTGCTCTTAGTTCTGGGTGTAATATTTGTTTGGACGCCGAGAAAGTTCGGGAAAAGCGGAGTAGAAACGAGATCCTCAATACCCAAAATCTAAAGGAAAAACAGAAACCCAGATTTCCCTCTTTTACCAAGCCAAGTCAACGTGCATAAATCAAGCCTTCAAAAGGTTGACTAATTCACTAAACTGGAAAAGTAAAACACAAATGATCTCTTTAGATTATACATATATACAAACCTCGTTCCCGTACGCATCACCAAATGCTATACTGACTTTGTCTCTGGTGTAAGCCACAGAAGAGCAGCTGGTCTTGATGATAACTGTGTAGGAGCAGCTTCTTGCATTCAGTAATCCACTCTGTTAACAGCAAAGTAGTTACGTAAATACACGTTTAGAGACCGAAAAGAAAAAAAAGACGATTACTCATCTTCTCGAAATTTTTACTCTGAGGATATGTGTTTGAGAAATTAAATGACCTGGTTGGATTTGGGGGTGAAGGATTTGAGAAGATGAGGCTGTGGAGAAGTGATGGATCTGGAAAATGAGTGTGTGAAGAAGAAGACGAAGGCGAAAATGAAGAGGAGAAGAGAGGGTAGCTTAACCATTTTCTGGGCTAGCTACCGCTCCTTTGATTATTGACTATTGAACTCTGAGTTTTGCCTTATCTATGGTTGCCATCAGTACTATTTATATTTAATCTTTTTACAGGGAATCAGAATAATTAATACAACCACAGCAGACGTAAGGAAGGCACGATTTAACAAGAAAATAGCACATAATAATTTGACTCATATTATTTTAAAAGAAATACTAATTATTTAACTAAAAAATAATTTTTAAATGTGTCTTTATAAGTAATTTAAAGTATTTTGTATATTAATAAATTTAAATTTTTATACATGTTCGTCTAAAAATATCATATAACCGAAACTGTATATTTCTCTTTGCTTTTTAATTATTCTGTTGGTATATGATTGTCTCCAGTTTACTCTTATTCACCTTTCTTACAAATAAATTAAAAAAAAAAAAAAAACATCTATTAACAAAGGCTCTTAATTATAGGGTCAGGCCAACCTTCTGCGGTTAACCACCAGAAGACTCATTGTACGTATGGAGGCATTTGGACTGCCTGCCTCATTTTGATTTCCAGAAACATTCTCTATTTTCATCCGATGGTGGCTCTCAAAAGCTTTGCAAACTCTAGCTCGCACTTTTAGTGAAATTCTTATCAAGATGATGCAATTGCCAGGGAACAGAAAAAAGACAGTTTTTGGATGCAAGAGGATAAACAAGAGAAAACTAACCCTCTTAAGGGGTAGTAAGACTCACGTTCGAAGAAGAGACCAAATATCTGCTTGTGTAACTAATGACTTTGTTTAACCACATAATTAACCTGTTTCAGCACACCTAGACTACAGTCCAGTCTGATTCTGAATGCTCCAAGAATTGAGACTTCAACACCAAAATGTCTCGCAACTCAGAATTTGTTTCAGTGATATATATACATTACTACAAGTTTATTTGGTTTATACTTCTGACCCTATAAGGCAATCCATATTAGGCAATAACGGTCTAGGTATTCCCACTTTTCTTTCTCAATGAATTTTCTTTTCTAATATATATATATATCAGAGAAAATCTCAAATCCTTAAGTTATGCACAACATAAGTAGCAGTTTCTTGATTTTGTAGCTTGAATTGGTGAAATATTAAAAATTTACAACAGCCAGGGATGTAGAGGCTTGCGCCACTACTTACACAATATCACAAGACAAGGAGCTGTGATGAGCGAGCATCATGACAATATTAGTCGGAGTATCTCCCCTGAATGCTTGAATGATTTCTCGGTTTCTTCCAAACAACGATTCTTTTCTTCCCTAGTCCAGCCCTGTGCAGATTTATGCAAAATTATGGCACTTTTAGTTACCGGTTTAATAAAGGTTATATGTCCAATTGTGAATATGTAAATATAATTTACAGCACAAGCTGAGCAGAGATTTTGATCAACTTTACAGAGCATTTTTCAGGCAGACAGAAGATAGCTACCTCAGCAACCTTGTTCAGCTTCTCTCGGACATTATTCAACAGCTTGGAAAGGTCTCCATCCCATTTATAGAACTCCAACTCCTTGTTATTAAGTATCATCTCAGAAACCTGAGATGAAGGGAGAAAGAGTTCCACATTAAATGAATTCAATTCCCAAATTTAAGTCTGCAAACGCATTGCATAGCCTTGCGTCCTTGTAATTATGGTTACCATCACAATCTTGAACATGCTCCAATAGGTTAAATTTTGTTTACCTTTTTCCCAATCATTCGACCACCAGCACTATGAGCAAAATATATATTATAGAAGTGGCATATAAAGGATTGAGGATCCTTCTCAGATAACTCCTTAAGATATTCTGCATAGGTAATACCAGGAGAAGAGGGTTCTGGAATGGAGTAGCCCTGCTCTTTGAACCCCTCCAAATCCTTTGCCAATTTCCCAGACCTTTCCAACCCTGTATTTCTGAACTCAGCATCTACATCAAGAAAATGCAAAAGTTATAGGCTTTTCTATTTAGAAGAAGATGAAATGTGCAAGTTAGATATAGTTGTTAAGCAGGCTAGTGGAGACATTGGGACAAACATGATAAATGACCCTTGGAAGTTTAGAACCTTCATCACAGACTCACCGACAAGCATTCCAAGCCATTGACACTTATTCCAAATAAGCATTAGGAAATGGTTTACTTCGTTAGTTTTTGCATACAAGACAACAATGATTTATTCTATAAAAATTTGAAAGAACATAAGGATAACCAACTCTACTTATGTCATAAGCTAGAACTTCTTGGAATTAGACAGTTATCCCACTATCCTCATTTCAACAAATCATGCCTCATATTTACAGTTCCCCCTACTAGTCAGATATTAAAGGCCTAGTAATCCATGTTAACCGAAACAGGTTAAGTTTTCTTTTCTTTTCATACGGCATACGCTGGGTATTAAGAATATGATAGCTGATAAATGCTGGGGTCTTAATTGCTAATTTTTCTGCTTATAAGTAACTTTAAGCACTCTACTCTGAAATCCCTGGCATTTGATAACATAAAAAACAGAACTAAAGTAAAAGACAAACACCTTGTTTAACGTTTTAGGTTCTTATTTCTTTCATCTAACAAATTTATTTAACTATTCTCTTGATATCTACTTAAAATTAACGATACATAAAATAATATAATTTATGAAATATTTATAACAAATATGTTTTCTATTAATTTATTAAAAATATTATTTTTTAATCAATACTTTATTCAAACGCATAATTACTTGCTTTTTTAAATAAAAATTTGCTCATTTCAAGTAACTTAGTACAACTTTTTGCTTTAAGCACATTTTCTTTTTGCATCCTAAATAGCCTCTAACTACTCTCTAAAAGATCCCTAGTGCTAAGAAATCAGCATGCTCAAATTTAGAAAAAGAAATATACGTTGTCCTGAAGTCAAGCTTGTGAAATGTTTTAGTCAGCAAGAAATCTCCCTCCCCTTTTTGGTTATCTCTAATTCACAGTATTTATTGTCAGCTTTCTAGTTGTTTATGCTTTACGCAGAATTTGAAAAAAATACTTGAGCAGTTTATTTGCTTCTTGCTCTCTCATTCTTTGGTCACGTTATATGCACAAGATTTTATCAGGAAATGGAGATTTTTAAACACTTAAAAACAGTGTTGCTAATCAATCAGGAAAAGAATGAATGAATGAATGAAGTCTTGCCCATTCAGAAATAGGACGAGGAAACGCATAGGACAGGTAACAGACTCTAAAGCCACCAACAACTTATTTGTAATCCAAAAACCATCCATCAAATCCATTGTCTAGAAACAAAAGAAAGGTTGCTCCTGAAGGCAAACTCCTAAAGCTATGCAAATTGCAAACTAACTTCTTTCCAATAAACTATTCTCAACAGCAGAAAATATCTTCTTAAAGGTTCTTATGTGCCATCAAGGCAAAAGGCCAACATATATATGCACGCGCGTGCATACACATATATTCTTTAGGAGAAAAAAGGCCAGGTTAAACTTTTAGCCTATTATAACTATCTCAACTAAAAAAACTTAATTACCATGAAATATTTTTTCGCCCATAAACTTAATAAACTTATTAAAACTTAATTCAGTTTGATCACTGCAATCTCACTAATATACTAATTTATTAAGTTATCGATCTCACTAAATTTAGTATTACAAATCGGTCACCATCAGGTCATAATATACTCACAAAGTGACAAGTTCTACGTTTTCAGTAGGTTACTGTCAACTCATAATATATCAAATGTTTTTTTTCCATAAATATAATACACTCGCTAAAACTTAACCCAACTTGATCATTGCAGTCTTATCAATACACTAATTTATTAAATTTTCAATCTTACTGAATCAAATACTACAAGGTGATCATTGTTAACCCATAATATACCCACCAAGTGGCAAACTCTACATTCTCATATCCGAACTTATGACTTTCAAGTTAAATACAATGCTTTAAGTATTCTATCATCGTATGCACGTATATATTAGATTCAATAAATGAGCTTTCTTAGACAAGAAATCTATGTTCTAATCTACCCTTCTTCTCACTCGTCCAAACCATACACCACCCCATCATATTTAAGAGAGATGCTAGCTTTGATGAACACATTCGGTCCAGAACTATTGCTGCCGTCGCTAGCCGAATCATCTTTAACCAAAACAGAGCTATTAAGATGTCAAAAAAACGGAATAAGAGATGCTCTTTTGACATACAGAGCAAAAGACAACTCCCATTAAAAGCACAGAAGCCTTGGTAGAACTCAATGACATGCTTTCCTCCACAACAAGCATTTAATACAAGAAAATTATCAAATTAAGCATGAGACAAAAAGAACAAAACGAATTTTTCAAAAAATAAAATGAGCACTTTAAAAACCAATAACCCAACTAGAAAGAAAGCTTCTTTCCTGTTACTTACAGCTAGGAAATGCAGCCTTTTCAATTATCCCTTCAAGAGTATCATACACCAGTTTGCTATCCACAAGGAACCTCAGGTATCCACCAACAGAAGGCTCCCATTTGGTGACTTTCTGCTCCTCCGGCTCCTTCACTTCCTTCTCCCCCTCTTTGGCCTGCTCCTTGGTGTGCAGTCTCATAGCGACAAACCTCATCTCCTCCACAAATCCCTTGGCCTCACCAGGGTACCGCTTCTTGGGCTTCTCCGCAGTGGTCGCCGACACGATGGCGCTCTTCAACGGCATGACTGTACTCGTTCGGGGCGCCTGAAGCCAAAGGGCAGACGGTGGCTTTTTGGCCAAGAAACTCGAACTAAAACCGGGGTTTGCGGGCACCACAACCGGGTTTGGGAGATGGGTTTTGTTAAAAATGGATTGAGATTGAGAAATTGGGGTTAAAGAAGCCATTGATAACACGAAAGCAAATAGAGGTTAGCTCCCGAGGATAATGAGTATACGTAACTGGTGGAGTATCAAAGATAAGAAAAGAAAAAAGAGCCAACGGAGATTTCGAACCCTCGATAAATTCTACCAATTATCAATGGAGTTTGGCTGAATTGTCGGTTCAAGTACTCTTGAAGCTAAAGCGATAAACACAGACACAATTCAACCCAATTATTGAATTAACCAAAGCAATAAAATACAATATAAATAGCACTAGAAAAGGAAACACGATTATAAATAATAGCGGTCAGTGATGGAGTTGAAGTATGGGTCTTCTCTCCTCCCCTCTCTTTCTCGTAGTTATCCGGGTAAATTAGCAGTCAGAGAAATGGCCTTCCAATTATTTTAAGGTTTTAGGCATTGAGATTTGAGAATCAGAATCTTCTAGGATGCAAAATTATGGCCAGGGTGGTGTTTTGCCTTTTGAAGTTAAGGACGGCGTCGTTTTCGTGCATTAGTTCTGTTTATGCGGTGTTCGTTTGTTGTGTCTGTGCCTTGGGAGAATAAAGTATGGGGAATGTTTATTTCTTGGTTCTTGTAATATTTTAATATATTGTTTGTATTTTGTTTGGTCTGCTTTGCTTTAGCTTGTCTTCTACGTTCTCTTTCTCCCATGAACTTGTCTACTTAATTGCCTTAGAAAGGAGCTTTTGCCCTCTTAAGGGTTATTCTTGATGTGATTTATTTTCTTATTAAAAATTTCGTATGTTGAGTTAATAAAATTATCTCTAATTATTTACGTAGTTATAATATTAAGAATTTTATTTAATACATCTCTTACCATTTGATAGTTCTTAATATTTAACTCTATAAATAATTTATTTACTAATAAATACACTTTTATGATTTGAATTTTTCATAGTTTCTAATTAACTACATTCCACCACTTATGTTTTTTGAGTAAGATAATCTCAATTTATTAAATAAAAAAAAAATATATATATATATATATAACTATCATAAAATATCTTAATAATTGATTAATTATATATTTTTATTCATAAATATTAATAAATTAAATATGATAAGATTCAAAACGAGCGTAAACAAATAAAGTACACGATATTTTACTTTTTCTCGTGTCTTACTCTATTTTCTTTAAGAGATTTTGTTAACAATCCTTAGAAATTAATAAAATATTTAATCTAATAAAATTTTTTATTAAATTTGTTAGAATATAATAATTATCATTCTTAGCGAAACGTAATAACTACTAATATTAACAAATACTATTTTGTAGATAATAAATGAAAAAAGAATATGGACCCATCACGTTGAAAAAATTACAAATATATTATTGTGATATATATATAATTTATTAATTGCATTAATGTTTCATGATAAATAGTTAATTTAATCAAAATATGTAATTATAAAGTGCTTTTATCTTTACGAAATATTCTCCTTTTGAAAACAAATGAATTTTATTTTACTTATGTAATGAATTAATTTTAGTAAATAAAAACCCACCACTCAATTATATAAACCTTGTACCTTGAAATTGATAAAATCCTCATAAGTCAGCATCTAAGTCGCTTTGGCCGAGTGGTTAAGGCGTGTGCCTGCTAAGTACATGGGGTTTCCCCGCGAGAGTTCGAATCTCTCAGGCGACGTTTAATCGTTTTTTACTTTTCAAATTTTTAGTAAGAAACGAAAGTCAAGATTTTTTTGCACCCTTTTGTTTTTTTTTTTTTGGCCTTTTTGTGAGATTTTTCTCCTGTTAACTTCTGATTCTCTAGAAGCCAATCTATGAAAATTTCATTATTTTCCTGCCAACTTGTCGTAATCTTGAAGCAACAATTGAGGCGGATGTCTATCCGTTTCATTATTTCACCCACTGAATCAACACAAACTTTCCGACCAAAACTTCATCAATTAAACTTGTAGCAGACTTCTCTAATTTCCCCTTCATATCCAGTCTTCACTTCAATGCTGCTCATTTTAATCATCGCCTGTGAAAACTCATGATCAAATCTCAAACCCAGCAAACCCCTGAAAGTGCCAGCATACTTTCGCACAACCTCTCGAGTAGCAGCGTCGTCCCAAAGCCTCTGATCCGACTCCAAAACGCCGGTACCGTCTCGGAGGTTCTTGAAGAAGCTCACATCAAACTTGTCGGGAGTGTCTTTGTCCAATGGAACCTCGTTAAGTCCATCTCCGTTTTGGGGGCATACCGATTTGAGTTGAGCCAGAAAGGGTTGGTTAATGGTTGGGTCTGAATTTCCGGTCCTCGTGAAGTTGTAGAGACGGTATTTGAAAAATCTGCAGTCTGTTTTGCCTATGGTGTGCGCCCCTGCATCCATCCGTATCATCAACAACATGAATTGTATTATACCTATAGAACTGTTTTTTTTTTTTTTTAATTTTTAATTTAGTTTTTATTTTTAAAATTTAAATGTGTTTTACTCATAAAATTATATAAGTTGGTTTATAATAAAGAGAACAAAAATGAAAATAATGGTAAAGTAAGAAATTTTAAAGGAAAAAAATTGTCAAGTATAACGGCTAGTTATATGTAATTTATCAATTGGGTCCATTGTAAAAATATATAAGATAAATTATTTCAATTAGAATGGCTCAAATTTTGTTTTAACTAAAAATCTATGCATATATATTAATTTTAAGATTTAGACATATACAAGTATATAACTCAATTATATATATATATATTAAGAATTGTAATTGAATAGGAATTTAATCAATCAAGAAGCAAAATTAGTACCAACTAGGGTTACAAGATCATGATCATCAAGGCCTTTAGCTGCAAACTTTTGCCTCTGAACATAAACAGAATCAAGAGGGGAAGGTAAGCTTGAGGTCACTTGGGATGATGAAGAAATCCTCCCATCTCTTCTCCCTGTTGGCACTTTCCAACTCGGACCATCACTCTGCAACATATGAAATCCAATTACAATTTAACCTAGTTTGTATTAAATTTCTTTTTCAATTTAACCCATAATAATATTTTTAAATTAATTTTATATGTGTAAAGATTATACCAAATCAACAGCATCACGAGCTGCAAGAGCAACAATATCAGCACAGGAAACTACACCAGGACAGGACAACTCGAGCTGTGATTTTGCATCTTCAATTACTTGAAATCCTCTCAACCCAAGATTCGGAAACGCACTTCTCTCAGACGATGATCCTGTGATCAGCACCGAACCATCGCATCCCTATATACAATTAATTGGTGTGGTTAATAATAATCAAGCACTTAATTATGAAAAATTAGTTTAAAAGAAAAATTACCTGGACGAAACAGTCATGGAAATGGAGCCTGAGCAAGGCAGGAGCAATGGAGGGGTCGTTCTTGAAGTGGTACTCAACAGTAGACCTTACAATGGACTCAGCTTCTGGGCAAGAAGAAGAGTAATACCCATTGCTTAACCCTTCTTGGCTGTGAACTGATTGTAAGGCTATACCCAAAAGTAATACCCAGTAATTACTGCTAATTCCCATATTTTTTTGTATCTGTATGATCTCTAATGCCTAGACTTCTCAATTAGGTATATGTCCTCCTCTCTTGCTACCCATATATATATATATATATATATATGTATAGGAGTATGTACTCGTGGATATTTGCAGTTAAGTAATGTACTTGTATATATGGATTTGGTCGTCAGCTACTTTATTTTTTGATAATATATGTGTTTTGGGTAAGATTCAATTGATTTTGGGTCTTTTAATATTGTAAACAGCTTCCTTTTTGGGTGGACATGAGTTGGGGCTCAATATACCAAATGGAGATTTTACTTTGTTCTCCAAAAAAAAGAGAAGAAATGGCTTGGTGGGTATGGTTAGAATTGTTTAAGGAGCAAAAATTAGATATTGGAGAAATTAAATATAGTTATGTATATAATTTTGATGTATAAATAAATTAATTTTGATTTATCTTCAATTTTATAATTATAAACTTTTTGTCTATCTATAATTATATCATATTCATGTTCTTATTTAAGTTGAAGTTACATAATTTGCTGTTACTTGTCTGATTTACCAATGTCTACTATTTAACTACTAGTACCCAAGTTGGATATGTGAGCACTAAGAGGATGAGTACTAAATTAAGATTCCTAATTTGACTTGGGAAGCCAATTATTCATCCTTCCACTTTTATATGAATTTTCATATAAAATCACTTTTATTTTAAATTAAATTTTTGTTCTATTCAATTGAATGCAAATTTCTAAATAAATTCTACAATATTTATGAATTTGTTTCAAACATTATAGTAAAATTTAATTCTTACTAATTTTAAATACAATGAAGAATTAGATTCTCATTTTTTTAAAAAAAATAAGATAAAAGTGAGAGTTTTTGGATTTTTTATCTACAAAAAGGGCTTTATGTGAGATTCAATGCGCGTAACAGACTATTAGTTTATTGGGTCCATTTAAAAATGATTAATTTCTGTCAAATGATTATATGTCTTAATGTTTCGAGATTAAGTATGAACTTGTAATATGTGCATATATTATATTTGTAATTTCTCATTTTATGATGAACAAAAATAGAAAATGACAAAAATTAACGATATAAAAAGACGACTATGGTCCCCAAATCGTACGTATGTTTTATTTTATTTTTTTGTTATCCCATCAGCAGAAAATAAAGTGTTGAAAAATCACGTGTCGATTTAGAAGACCTACCGTACTACGCAAAAATTCATTCTACTATAGATTCATATACGCTTCCGTATTCGTTTTTTTTAATTTAGTACAAGTAGCTGCTTTGACTTAATTTAGTTCTAGCTAGAGTAAGATGAAATATACATTTAATATATTGTAATTTTATTAATATAAAAGGTAGATATATAATTTTTTATAAAAAATTAAGTGATATATAGATAGGAATAATAATATAATTGAAATCAATGTCTAAAATAAAGATATATAAAAACATAATTTAATTCAAATTTATAATATTTTTATTTAAAAAAATGTAATAATTATTACATTAATTAGTAATTAATAAATTAAATATATAAAGTAAAAATACATTTAGAATTGATGTAGCGATTCAGAACTTAAAAGAAAATAAAGTTATAAATTAAATGCGGAAACGAAATAATAGAGTTTAGCGTTTATATTCCTTACACAATAATTTAAAATGCCCAATATGGCTACGGGAATGTCCATTCTAAAAGAACAAACAAAAATTAAAGAAATAAACAAATGTAATATACTGAGCATTCTAGGAGGACCTTCACTAACTTTTGAAGGGAGTCTTGGTGGTAAACTATTCACAACCCTCTTGTTGTTCAGAATATAAGTTTTGGTCCTCTTGATCTAAAATAGTTAATGAAAGGGTGAGCTACACTATTCTAGTAAAAATATCACACTACTCACCAATACAGAAATTGAAAGTTAATAAAAATTATAAACACAACCAATGAAGCTTTTAATTTAAGTAAATTCATTTATCATAAGAAAAATTATTTTATGCATATATTTACCGTTGCAAGATTTTTAAAATCAACCTATAGATACAATAATTCAAATAATATTCTAATATCATTTTCAGGTGAGTAATAACAAGCATTTTCCTTTTTTATTTGCCTACTTGTATCCCTAGGGACCCAGAAGGATATCTCACTACGCGTGAATTAATATTCTACATTGTCAACTAACCGATCGTCCCATACCATGTCCGATATGAGCGTCAAAAATATCATTCTTCATACTCCATCCGGTATAATGGTGAATTAAGCTGTCCCCATACCCCGTCCGGTATGAGCGCCAAAACTATCATTCTTCGATACCCCGTCCGGTATGAGACAACGTTCACGGTAGGATTCTCTATGTACCCGGTCCGTTCACCATCTCCCATGATGTCCAGTAAGGCTATCATTCATTAATTCACATAACCAATCAATTTTTCGTTTGCATATTAATTTGTAATTTCACAAATCAACTGTAAATCACACAAGATAAGAAATATATATATCAAGAAAACACAAGTGAATCATTCAACCATTCCAGTATATTCTCATGTATTTAAAACTGTAAAAGTGAACAATCAGTTACACAGGACAAACAAATAAATGACTAACCGGTTTCAGCTTCATTAGTAACCTGTAATTATTCTCAAAGTTTTCTAAATTACACAAAATATCATATTATCGATTATTAAGCGTCAATTCCATAACAGAGAATAAGGTAAGTGATTCTTACCCGAATCGGTGCATGAAACACTAAATTTTTTATTGCACCTGCTGGCAGTCCTCGGGTTTCCTGAATTTTCCTACGGAGATTAAAACATACTTCACGTATTTAAAAATACCCCAAAAACCTAAAATCAGTGTTAAAATCATTTTTCGGCTAATCTTGGGGTTTCGGAACGGTGGCACCGTTATGCTTCAGTGACGTCACCTCCGCCCGCAGCGGTGGTTTTCCTCAGTCTAGCCGTTTTCGGCTGATTTTAGCCAATTTCAGTTGGCTTTATATCATCCCTGCGAAGAAACACGTTAGGAGGTCTCGATTGCCCGAAAAAAATCAAAAAACTAGAAACCTACTGGTGATTGGATTTTTCGGTATGGCAGCTCCACCGGTTCATCTTCATAGTTGGGTATTTTTCTAAAATCAACATGTAGAAAATATAACGGTGGAAAAATCGTACGAAACAGAAATCGGAAAGGGGCTCATCGGAGGCGGTTGCACGTTTTGCCTGCGGCGGCTCTATCGGACTTTACCCACAATTTCTAGCTTACCCGTCATTTATTTTGCTCCAATATGGCCACAGGGGTGCTCATAATCGAATTCTGAGTGGGTTGGAGAATTTTTACCTTTTTTAGCAGTTGGAAGTGGCTCCAGTGCGGCGGCGGGTGACGGTCGGCTCCCTTCTCCGATGGCTGATTCTTCTTCTCCAGCGAGAGGCTAGTGGCTAGGGCTCAGGTCCTGTGTGATGCAAAATATTTATACCCATCTTGCATTAATCTAGGCAATTATCGCATTTAATCTCGACCATCCGTCGCGTTTAAGTAGGAAACAATTTAGACCGTTCATCGCATTTGATCGCGACCATTCGATCGCGTTTGAGGAGGAAAAGGATCTGAGCCGTCCATGCGTATGGGAATGCTTCTGGGTCATCCGATCGTGGGGGCATGCAGATTGTCAGTGTGGCCTCCCGCGTGGCACCGAGTCAGCTTGCCTTACCACACGGTGCACTTCAATTCGTCGATGCTGCTGATCGGATGGTCCAACGTTGCGTAATTTTTTAAAATTATATTCTAACCCTCAGTTTCTAATTTTTCTTTCAAAAATACCCCCGAACCCAATTTTTCACATCTTTTATTAAAATTATTTTCAATCTCATTCCTGATTTATTTTTTCTAAATAAAACAAAATTTTTATTAAATTAATCTATAAAATGTATTTTATTTTATTTTTTTTATATATCTCTAAATTAACAAAATTTATTCCGGACTAATTCTCTGATCCCAGGTATTACAACTCTCCCCCTTTAAAAGAAATTTGATCCTTCAAATTTGTCACTCTCACTTAATCAAACAGTTGGGGATAATGAGCTATGAAGTTTGATTCTAGCTCCCATGTGGCGTCACTCTATGTGTGATTCTACCATAAGATCTTAACGAAAAAAAAATTTCGGTTGCAAAGTACTCTACTCTTTCGGTCTACAATGCCTACTAGTACCTCTTCGTAGGACAAATCATCCTGCAGTGAAAGGGGCTCGTGGGCCAAGATGTGAGAGAGGTCCGAATTATACTTACATAGCATGGACACATGGAACTCATTATGGACTCTGAATAGTTCTGGAGGTAGTGTCAGTCTATAGGCAGCGGTACCAATTCTGTCTAAGATCTCAAATGACTCAATAAATCGGGGATTTAGTTTTCTTCTCTTGCCAAATCTACTGATTCTCTTGAAATGGGTGACCTTGAGGAACATTTGATCACCTTTCTCAAATTCCAAATCTCTCATCGGGGTGTGCGCATAACTCTTCTGTCTGTTCTGAGTCATCTGGATGTTCTTTCTGATCTTAACTATTTTGGTTGTAATCTCATCCACAAAATCTAGGTCGAACAATTTTCTATCACCCACCTCTTTCTAATAGATCGACGATTTACATGGATAACCATATAACGTCTCGTACGGAGCCATGCCAATACTTAGTTGGTAGCTGTTATTGTAAGCAAACTCTATTAAGGGTAAATGATCATTCCAATGGCCTCCGAAGTCAAGAACACAATGTCGGAGCATATCCTCCAGTGTGCGGATCGTCCTTTCTAAGTATCTATCGGTCTGAGAGTAGAATGCGGTACTAAGAAACAGTTTTGTTCTCATGGCTTGCTGAAAACTATACTAGAACTGAGAAATGAATCTGGGGTCCCTGTCGGATACTATTGTCATCGGTACTCCATGTAACCTGACTATCTTCTGTATATATATTCTTAATAGCTTGTTTAAGGAGTCGATCATCTTGATGGCTAAGAAGTGATAAGACTTGG